TCTTTGCATACTTTGGCATTTTTGAAGCCATCATAAACAGAAATTGTTAATGGTATTGCAAACACTTTATTGATATGTACACATGAATGTCTGAAATATTGGAATGGTTTATTCTTTGTTCACATTCTTTGAAAAAAAAACATTTGGCAATATAACAGATGTTAGAACAAGCATCTCTACAAGACACTGACATCGGTGATGGACATGCAGTGGACAAATACATGGACACATCTTCTTCTATATTTAATCTTCTAATTTTTGCCTTTGGTCTGATGCGTTTTTCAAGCCACAAACAAAGACAATCCTACAAGCTTCATTCAACAATGTGGCTTTGTTGTTGTTTTTTTGTACCCTCCACATATAATATATATTACACAAAAGTATTTAATGGACTGCTGTCCTTTTATGAGTATACATGAAGTATTTGTAGTCTCTCGAAATACATTGCATAGGTTCTCAAATTGCAGGCAAAATAAAAAATACAGTTATGCACTGTTATAACATCTATAAAGTTACACCTACAGAACTCTAAATGTTTCTGGAGAGGGTGCATTGGCTTTATTTAATGGATGGAAACAGATATTTGTTGATCTCTGGATACTGACTTTCTGAAGTGTTTGTTTGTGTTGATGCTTGATGTGAGATTGTGTAATGACCATCAGTTTTACTCCGAGCAGGATATTGGGTTTTTACTTGGATTCTTTGATATGAGATGATTATTGTTGGTGAGCAAATAATTTGAATTTTATAAGGGGGAAATATTTTTAGTTGAGCAGTGAGATATATACAGTGTTCCTATAAATGGAAAATAGTTTTGGGAAAACAAAATGACTGGTGTTTAGTACTATTACAGCACATTTATTCATATACAGTGGGTACGGAAAGTATTGAGCATCTCTGGAGAGACCTAAAAATGGCTGTCCACCAACGTTTACCGTCCAACCTGACAGAACTGGAGAGGATTTGCAAGGAGGAATGGCAGAGGATCCCCAAATCCATGTGTGAAAAACTTGTTGCATCTTTCCCAAAAAGACTCATGGCTGTATTAGATCAAATGGGTGCTTCTACTAAATACTGAGCATTTTTCAGTTTTTCTTTTTTAATAAATCTGCAAAGATGTCAACAATTCTGTGTTTTTCTGTCAATATGGGGTGCTGTGTGTACATTAATGAGGAAAAAAAATTAACTTAAATGATTTTAGCAAATGGCTGCAATATAACAAAGAGTGAAAAATTTAAGGGGGTCTGAATACTTTCCGTACCCACTGTATATACTGTGTTGTGTGTATTTGAGGGCCAAGTATGCCATACTATATGCGGTTTTCATTAGTTTGTTTAGGTGCTACAGGTAACATTATTAGCACAGAGTAGTTAAAGTATTGACTGTGATGCTGACTGGTTTTGCATCATGAAATGTGCAGCGTTCAAATGAAACGTAAAGCCAGCTTTAGTTTTCCTAAAGATGGCATGCTTTTGTATTATAATGTATGAGATATGGACAAAAAACGGTTGTTTTTACCTCATAAAGCTAAATTATAAGAAATGAGCCAAAGTTCAAATCTGTAATATAATAGGATTCCTATGGCATAGGATGGTGGCCAAATTGCTTTTAATACAGAATACCAGAGGGAAAAGGACCCATTAGAAACTGAGCAGTCTTGCAGTTGTCGATGTGTTAAAGCATTATGGCATAAGCATGAGCCTTTGAGGACATCTGGGAACAGCAGACGAGAATTGCGAGCACGTTAGCGAAATTTCGCTAAATATTTGCAAAAACATTAATTGTCTATTGTCAGTACTGTATGAAGCACAATCAAGCAGCTTTCTGTTGGGTCTCCACGACGAATTCGTGTTTCTAAATTGGAAATTGGGAAATTTCTTTCACGCTCACACTAAATACGCGTATAGCCTATTCCTATTTAAATAACTGCATTTCGCCCGTGAAAATTACTATAAATGCAACGCACCTTTAATGTTGTGAAATTTCACGGCTGATGTACAGTTATTTACATATAATACATGGGATTCGAGTTTTCGCGTGAGGGCGAAAAAGTTTTCGTTCGTGTTTCAACTGCTCACGCGATTCGCCTCGTTGACCAACAGAAAGCTGTTGGAATTAAAGCAGGGTTGCCAAGTCCACGGTTCTACCTGGGTTGCCAGGGGTTGTTTTTTTTAGTCCAGGACCCCCTGGGAACGCAATTCTGATTGAACGGAACGAGTCGTTTTGGGCTAGTTTTGAGAAGCAATTGGGCTGGTTTTGTTCCACAGATAAACCAGCTCAAACCAGCATCCCAGCTTCAAAACATACCTAACCAGCATATGCTGCTTTTTCAACAGTTTGAAAGCGACTTTGGACACACTACTGACTACCTTTTTGTCCGTGAAATTCCGTCGCTAATGTGAATGCTAAAGTTTTCAACTACAAACATACTTTAGACTTGTAGTCAAGCATTTTCCTCGCCAGTGTCCCGTGTGCATGACAACTACTGCGTCTGTTGCGATAGATTTTCAAGAAGTATTGTTTTTTTCACAGTTTGAACCAAGTAAGCAGTGTTTTTTATCTTTACTTTAACTTTAAGTAACACCAAAAATATGTTGCGTGTTTTGCTCTTATTGTTTAAATAGTTATTATGACAAATCCATTTGCAAATGCTTCCTTAAAGGGTTTATTGAGTGCTCTAGTTCCCTTTGGGAGAAACCAAAGGGATATTGATATGGTGTGATAATGCAATCATGCTTTCAAAAGCTCTCTTTTGACATGTTAACCACTTATTGTATGTTAATATTCTGCTTATATTGTTTTATAGTAATTGTAAGTCTCACTCTTACACACATATATAATTATTTTCTCATTAAAAAGAAAATGTGTAAAACGACTCTATTCTTGACTTATCAAAACCTGTCAATGTCACAAATGTAATGCCAAAAGAGTTTAAAGGGTTCACCCAAAAAAGAACATTTGATGAAAGTTTACTCACCCTAAGACCATCAAAGATGTAGATGAGTTTGTTTCTTCATCAGATTTGGAGAAATGTAGCATTACATCACTTGCTCGCCAATGGATCAATGGGTGCCGTCAGAATGAGAGTCCAAACAGCTGATAAAAACATCACAATAATCCACAAGTAATCCACACCACTCCAGTCCATCAGTTAATGTCTTGTGAACTGAAAAGCCGTGTGTTTGTAAGAAACAAATCCACCATTAAGACGTTTTTAACTTCAAACTGTTGCTTCCAGCTAAAGCACAGTACGAGTCCTGTACACTATCAGATAAAATGGTACAAAAGCTGTCATTGAGCTGTACACATCAGTACCTAAAAGGAACAAAAATATACCTTTTGAAAAGTTACTGCCTCAGTGACAGCTGTGTGTATATTTCTGAGTGTGTATCAGTGGTGTATTGTAACAAGCAGGTTTGACGAATCAGTGGTCTGGCGTTTGCAAGTTAGACTTTTAAAAACACCTTTGCTCATGTGCAAACAAGTGCTCGCTCAACCGCGGATGATTCATTTTCCACTCAAGTCGAGTCTGCGGTGTGCGATACAGCATCATCTGCGATAATATGGTAAGTGTTGTTGTAATGATGTGCGATCTTCAAATATCAGTATTCAACATTTTATGTTAAAAACAAAACATTATATATCCATCTGTACTGTAACTGCAGTTTAAATGCATCCATGTCCCGTTTGAGATACATAAGCTGTGTAAATACATCTAAATGCTATTTCAGATTCAGATTCCAGAAATGTTTAAGATTTAAAAAATACTTTTCGTACTTAAGTACAATAAATATCACATACTTTAAGACTTTTACTCAAGTAATATTCTAAACAGTGACTTCAACTTCTACCAAAGTCATTTTCTGGTAAGATATCTGTACTTTTACTTGAGTATGGCTTTCAGGTACTTTATACACCACTGGTGTGTATCCATAATACGCTTTCTCCAGTGAAATCACAATAAAAATGCATTCGAGTTTTGTTAAATGAATAGGTTGTAAAAAGGTGTGGAACTATGCCAAATATTATAACATTCATTCAAAAAGAGAGTGATTTAGAATATTTGGTTATGGCTGAATGGTCAAACTATGTGGTATTTTCACGCTTTAAATGTGCAAAAAAAAAATCCCTATAGCCTACCCTTACGAAAAAGAAGTTTATTCAAGTGTTCTGTTAGTATACTTCTTTTAAACTAAAAATAGGAAAGTATACTTTTAGTCTACTTTTTTATGTACTTCTCAGAAATGGACTTTATGTACTTCTCAGAAATTGTAAACTAGTTTACTACTGTTATACTTAAAGTATACTTAAAAGTATACTTTTATATACTAGAAAGTGGGCCAATTTAGTCCCAAGGAGTATTGAAATAGTACACTTACAAGTATACTACTAGTACACTGATATTTGTTTACTTACTACATAAAGTATACTTAAAAATATGCTTGAACTTTACTTAAGTATACTTAATAAAATAAACTTGAAGTATACTACATTTTGGTAAGGGTATACTTAAAAAGAATGGGAAAGTTACACATTTTTTGTCCTGCTTGAAGCTTCACTTCTGAAAAAGTGCAGAGCCTACATTCTTTTCTTTTTTTCATTAAAAAGAAACAGCATGAGGGTGAGTAGATCTTTATTATCATCATTATTTTAGGTGATCTATATCTGTTAAAGAAAAATCTCCTCGTGACCGTGAGATCATCGCCTGCTCTTCTACTTGAAATCCTGTTTGACTAGTTCACACACACCAGCAGGTATTGCATCACATGGGGATGCAATGGGGATATATTTGTCTTTAAGAAATATGTTTTTATATGCTCTGCAATCAACACATTTCCTTTTCTTGGAATTGTAATCAACTATAATTAACTTTATATAAAACAAGCCTATACTGTAGCCTATTTAAAAAGTAAAGTGAATGTGTTTGTGTCTGGGTGAAACATGACTAACCACTGAAAGCATTTCAGTGTACAACTTCCCCATAGCAGAATGACGCGATGGGCTTCACCCAGAGAGTTTGAGCTTCTGTGAAGTATCGAGTTTTGTTTGCTTTTATTCTTTTTATGGCTGTTATGATGTCCTGTCGTAAATACATCGCGCCTCTAGTGTTCTGTGCCCAGGTGGCCAGCTCGTTTTTTGACACCGCTCTCCAAATGGTGGTTAAAGAACGATGCGCAAACCCCGACAAGGACACCGAGCAGAAAGCCATCACCAACTTCAACATGGCCTTCAACATGGAGCTCAAATTCATGCCAATTGTGCCAGCGATCCTTCTGGCAAAGGTTGGAGACAGAGGTTACAGGAAAGTGCCAATAGTGGTTCCTCTGGTTGGATATTTTCTGTCCAGAGGTTTGCTCTTGCTGGATATCGTGCTGGAATGGCCTGTCCAGGTGCTGTACGCGGTGCCGGTGATCCATGGACTGTGCGGCGGGTTCGCGTCTTACTGGGCAGGTGTGATGGCGCTGGTGTCGGTGTGCTCCGGTGAGGAGGAGCGGTCCGTGCGCATCATGAGAACCGAGCTGGTGTACGGAATCGCCGGTTTCATTGGTAGTTTGGCTTCTGGTCACTTATTTAACTTCTACACCGTAGATCTCAAACAAGGAGCAATTTTATCTAGTTTTAGCGTGCTACTGTATTTCCTCTGCCTGCTCTATGCGGCATTTTTCCTGCAAGTCGATTTCTCCGAGCTTGGAGAGAGACAGGAGCGACGGGAAAGTGTTGGGATCATAAACCACGAAGCCCGCGATAAAATAAACATCGCTTTGCTCTTCGTCAGTGGGATTTTGTATGATATCGCAGTGGCTGGAGGAATGGAGATGTTGGCAGCTTATGTGCTCAAAGACCCCCTCAGCTGGGGCGCAACTGAGGTGGGTTATGGAAACGCGGCGGGATCGCTTCTCTTCGTCACCAGTTTTTTAGGTGTGAAGATGTTCACAAGATGTTCTGTTAGAGATGAGAGCATGGTCATGATCGGCATGGTGTCTTTCGCAGCTGGGATCTATTTCATGGCTTTTGTGACCACAACTCCGATGTACTTTTTGGGTAAGTTGTAACCAAAAGCCCAGTAATAGCCTATCTTTTTTACTTAATGCTTACTTGAGCTTAAGGGTTATTCATATACCCTTAAATCTACCTTAAATGTATTAAATATGACCATTAGCCTATCTGGCTAAATATTAACCAGACCCTGTTGGCTTACATCAATGAAAGCAATCGATAAGGGTCGGTTAAGGTAAAATATCAACATGCGCAACGCGTGCACGTATTTGTACTGGTGCAGAATGAGAGAGAAGGGTCTGGCTGCAGCCTTGCACTTGAACTCTCAGACTTGCACTCTCAGACACTTGCGCTTCCGCTAGCGAAGTCACTTGCAGTCTTTTTTATTTTGTTCTATTTATTGATTACTTTCTGTTTGAATCTCTCAACATTTTACAACAGTAGCCAGGTGGTGAAGACAAGAATCTGAGAGTGCAAGTCTGAGAGTGCAAGTGTCTGAGAGTGCAAGTCTGAGAGTGCAAGTGTCTGAGAGTGCAAGTGTCTGAGAGTACAAGTCTGAGAGTGCAAGTCTGAGAGTGCAAGTGTCTGAGAGTGCAAGTCTGAGAGTGCAAGTGTCTGAGAGTGCAAGTCTGAAAGTGCAAGTGCGAGGCTGCAGCCAGACCCTTTTGAACTATCTGGTAACGATGCAGGTGTTATGGTGCATATATAAAAGTATATATATTAGCATTATAAAACATAATGAGAAATAATGTAGCCTACTGTACCTAAGTGACTTTTCTAACCAGTGTTTGGGGAAAGTTACTTTTAAAAGTATTTCTTTTACAATATTGTATTGCGTTATTTAGTTTTTATGGAAAGTAAAGTATTACGTTACTTTTGCATTACATTTAAAATCCGAGCTGAGCTCGCTTGTTTTTTGTTTTGTTTTTTATATTTAAAAAAATGCTATTTTGGCAAATGTAAAAGCCCTTTCACACAAAAAGTGAAATGAATAAGCCTCAGGCTGAAGGAATGTAAATTCACATTAGTACAGTGGAGAGCGCAGCTAAAAAAAAAACAGTTGTGCCGCAATTCTGGATTACAATGAAGAACAGGACGCAGGAGAAGAGAGAAGGTTTAACACTCTTCAGTAATAAAAATGGGACAAGAAAGTAACCGTGAACTTACGTGAAAAAGTAACTCAGATATTTTATTTGTAAATTAAAAAGTAATGTTACTTTACTTCACTAGTTAAAAACTAATCTGATTATGTAACTTGCGTTACTTGTAATGCGTTATCCCCAACACTGTTTCTAACTATAATAACTTAAATGAGCATTTAAACTGGAATGTAAACCAGTGCATAGTTCCTCAAAGGAAGAATTTACATGGAGTCACCATAAGGTGTGAAAAATGCTCTATAAATCACTTTACTGATTTATCTGAGATTTTATTCTTGTCTCCTTTAGCTCGTTCTGTCACTCTGTTTGCTCTGATTCCAATGCCCACCATTCGCTCACTGCTGTCCAAACAGGTCAGGGGAACCTCATATGGTAGGTGTCAGTTCTTTATTCTCTCAGTGCCTTAAACGAGTTGTGTGTCTGCATATGGTGCTGCCAAATACATTTTGTGGAACACTAGAATTTCCTCAAAAGTAAACTTAGACTTCAGTTGACTTTTACACAATTTGCATGTTAGCTCATGCAGCTGTGCTGTGAAGCATATCAGTGTCTGGTGTATACAGGTGCATCTCAATAAATTAGAATGTCGTGGAACATACCACCTCAGCAGTGCCACAAACTGATCCCCTCCATGCCACGCCGAATTGAGGCCGTAATTAAAGCAAAAGGAGCCCCTACCATGTATTGAGTACATGTACAGTAAATGAACATACTTTCCAGAATGCCAACAATTCACTAAAAATGTTTTTATGAAGTATTCTATTTTATGTTCTTATGAAGTATTCTAATTTGTTGAGATTGTGAATTGGTGGGTTTTTGTTAAATGTGAGCCAAAATCATCACAATTAAAAGAACCAAAGACTTAAACTACTTCAGTCTGTGTGCATTGAATTTATTTAATACACAAGTTTCACAATTTGAGTTGAATTACTGAAATAAATGAACTTTTCCATGACATTCTAATTTATTGAGATGCACCTGTATATTCAGAAGTTGAAGTGTAAACAAAACAAAACAAAAAAAGAGAGAGAAATGAAACTACGTGTCGGTGTATTCACAGGTGGAGGCCGCGTGAATATTTATGCTTTTGTGTGGTAACAAGAAGTAGCTTTATTGGCAAGTGTAAAATTATTATGCTTCTGACCTGCGGTGCATTTCCCAAAAGTAACTATGGTCACAAGTTCCATCATTACCAACAAAGTTCAACAGAACTTGCAACCCTTTTTAGCGCTTTACGATGCTTTTGGGAAACCCACTCCTGGTTGTTTTCTGGTGGTCTAGCTGGTGCTGACCTAGCTGGTGCGACTGTTGTCAATGTCAGTTAGAAAAGGTGCAGCACTCACTCTTGAAGAGATCAAAACTTTTACAAACTAGTTTTGATCTCTTCAAGAGTGAGTGCTGCACCTTGGTTGCACCTCCTCTTTCGTTGGTAGAGCACCTCTTTTCAGTAATCTTTGTAGCTACTGTTGTCAATCCCAGTTGTACAGTTAATGGTCAATTGATGGGCTGGCTGAGGTGACAAGGAAAAATTTAAGGGGGTCTGAATACTTTCCGTACCCACTGTAGTTTATCAGAAAGGCAAGGGGCTAAGTACTGAACCCTGAGGCACTCCAGTGGATAGCAGATGCTACTTAAACACTCCCTCTCTTGAAGATACCTTGTTGAATCTGCCCGTGTGGTAGGACTCAGGCCAGCGAAGTGTAGTTCAAATAATACCCGGTTCAGAGAGAGTGGACAGGTGAATTTTTAGCCCTTACTACAGTGCATGTCTGTGCTTTTATTCAAGTATGTGCTAGTCTGTGCTTGTATTCAAGGCTGTATACTTTACCTTATCAACAGCACACAGCTAGTGACAAGCTATGGAAGTCAAAGCAGATTCAAGCATTTGTAAAGAATAAGTTATTTGAAGAAAAGATAGGCTGTCAGGTGTAAAAGCAGTAATTTAGTACAGTCACACTCAGTTATTAAACACTAACTGTAATGTAGCATTGAGATCAATTAAAGTACTAAGCCTATAAAAATGTTATATATATATATGTGTATGTAATATTTCAGTGTAAGTGTGTATCCCATCAGCCAACTACTGGAGTGCCTCAGGGTTCAGTGCTTGGCCCGCTACTCTTCTGATACCATACCCACAGGCCACATGAACCAAACCCTCACCTCTGACCCTGTTGGCACTGACACTGTGTAACTCGTATGTAGTAGAGCTGAAAAATAAAGGTATAATCGTGGTAGTGATGGGATGCCAAGCTGAACAAGCAGCCTTTGGTTAAGAACTCTGTAGTTTGATGAAGCACATCTTTTGTCATTTTCATGATTAGCTACTTTTCCTCCCATAGGCATTACCTTTGTCATGCTCCAGTTGTCCTTCAAGCTTGCAAGCTTGGTCACCACACCCATCTACACGGAGATCTATCAGGCTACACTTGACACCTTCCCAGGGTTTGTCTTCATACTGTCCAGCATCTTCACCGTTCTTTCTATGATACCCATTAGGTAAGCTGAGATTTCTGACACCTTTGATAATATTCCATTCACCATTAAATTCTGAGAAAAAGTTATTCTTAAAACATTTTTATTGGTTTTTATTTTTTTATGTCTAGCATTGTAGGATGCCGCTCTGCAAGACAAGATGGATATGAGAGAATTCAAGGGAACTGACAGCATCAGCCACACCAAAGGAGACACAGTGTCACAAATGGACAAGTTATTGAAGTATGTTTGCGTAATAAATGATCTGAAGGTTTACACTGGAGTTACATACAATAGAAGATATTCTATCATTCAGTTGACTAGAAGTCGGCTTGAATGGATAATGTTATTAGATAATGTTATCTACTGGAATAGATAATGTTCCTGATGCACTGTTGTTACACTTTGCATTATTGGTAATGCAGTCTGTGTAGCGTCATATTTGCCAAGGTTTTTACACGTCTTTGTATAAAATGCTGACAATCTTTAGTTTTTATACATTTTGATAGCAATTTACAATACATTTTCATTTGTTAACATTAATTGACTACAATACTAAATATGAACTCAAAATAGATAATACTTTGAAAGTATAATAATCTTAATGTTAATTTCAACATTCACTAGTACATTATTAAAATCAAAAGTTGTATCTGTTAATATTATTTAATTGACCTGAACTGACAATGATCAGTTTTATTTTTATTAACCAGCATACACAAAAACTTTAATATATGTATTGCTCATTTTAGTTAATAAATTAACTAATGTTAACTAATGGAATCTTCTCATAAAGTGTTAGCAATCTTTCTGTATGCACTGTCTATTTGAAATTGATGACATCTTTTATCAGGTTTTTATTGTACAGATTTAGCAATAAATCAAGTTATTTGTACATCTGTGTATGGTGTGTTCATCTTAAACATACTTTTTTTACACAAAGTGTACAGGAAATACAATTATTATACAACTAATCATTCTTTATGGCAGGCTGTAAGTCTATATAGTTTTTAGTATTGCTTGTGCAAAGGCACAAAAATACATTAAAGAAAAAATACATAGTATATTATAATTATTTTTACGGCATTGGTCCAGTATTAAAATCAGTTGAGGTAAAGAGTAATAGCATCAAACACTGTGCAAGTTATTCTTCCTTTTAAAGCCCAGACTTTATATCCTATTAATTTAATGATAAACAATTTATGCTAAAAGGAAGCCAAATGAGCTTTAAAAAACATGACGTATATAAAACATACAAAGGGAATAAACTTAATAAACTGCAAGGGATTCTCCTCACATGCTTTAGTTTAATTTGTTAATTTATACTTCATACACACCTGCTGGACTGATCTGTAAGTAAACATGACACACTCATGCTACAGTCGCTTAATATTTGACAAAAACAATTATTTGTTTAACCATTAAGTACGTAAAATAACACATTAATGGACCACAATTATTGCAGATTCTGCCATTTGAAAGTCATATATTCACTTTACATTTAACCTGTTCTTGTAAAAAAATGAATTTAATATTGTCCAGTATAAACTGTATTTTATATCATAATGTACAACATGCATTAAAGCAACAAGTCATATAGCTGCCTTTGTAACAAAATAAAATATATTCAGTTGAAAATCAAATCATCTTAAAAATGAATGGAGACAAAAGTGTAAGGATTTGATGAGTTAAACTTCAGGCCATGTATCTTCACTAGACCACGTGAAAAAAGGGCAAAAATAGACATAGAAAAGAGCCTATGCTTCCAGACAGAACATGTATTCTGGTGGCTCTGTTATCTTAAAGAAAAGGCAATGAGAAGACGCGGCTGCAGTAACAGTATTTACCAGCAGACGACGTGTTTCCAATCTGTGTGCTGCAGCTCTGCTCGAACACTGGAGGGCCAGAGCTGATTAAACATACTTTCTGACTGGTCTTTGCTACATTACTACGTATTTGCAACATTGATGGATAACTCACTTAAAATGTCAAAAAAAAAAATTATGCAAACTGTGATCTGGAAATGACAGAACTGTGAGAGATGACAAACTTCAGTGCAGCCCCGACTATCTGTTCATGAAGTCTGCTTTAACTTAAAGAGAACTACCTCACAACAGGCAGAAATTTTATATAAAGTGGAAAAAACATACAGAAAATGAAGCCTAATTTTCAAGACCATTTTCATTAGTGTCTAAAATAAAGCAATCAAACTTGTTTTCCCCGCAACTTATTACTGAAAAACAGATGTATTTAACTATAATGCAATATGTCTAGAATACAATTTTTAATCATATCAAATATACATAAAAATTATACATACATAAAAAAATACATATATATGCTTTACATATCCTTATTGGAAATAAAGTTAAAATGTAAGTAAAAAAAAATCATAATAATAATTATAATAAATAATAATAGTAATTAGAAAAGATAATCCAAAAATTCTGTCTATTTACATTTCTGGGTGAAATATCCCTTTAATAGACCTGAAATAGGCTTCATTTTCTTTATGAAAAATATCATTTTGATTAGGGGCTGAAACAAAGGCTAGGCATTTCTACAGTTTTTGTGAGAAACACACAGAAGCACGTTCAGAAACACTTTGCATCAGGAATGTTGAATAGAAACGGTTTGGTTGGTTTGGCATCTATAATTCTATAATGTCTAAAATGTTATTTTAAATTGTAATAATATTTCACTCATCTTTGATCAAATAAATGCAACCTTGGTGAGCATAAAGAGACTTTAAAAAAAATAAAAAAATAAAATAAACTTACCAACCTCAAACTTTTGAACAGTAACGTATCACTATCCTGCACTGCGTAACCACATTAAACAAGAACAACTCAATAGATCTTCTGCCTTTGATCTAACAGCTGCCAAAAACATTTGCCATAATGCATTTACTAAAAGCTTTGAATTTCAGAATGTATGTACATTATTGGAGACTAACGCTCTCCATTATTATCCCAGAGTTTCACAGGAAACGTCCCACATTACATTCACCTCACTTGTCTAGTTGACCCGACCACAGATCCTGCCCCCATTAAGACAAGTACAAACCATTATGACACATCTTTAGTCATAAAAATTTAATGAGGTCAAGTATGGCTGGCAAAACATCCTTCATTTCAACGCAACAGCTTAGTTTAGAGTATAACGAGGGAACGGCCGATCCAGGCAAGGGTTTTGTAGTGCAGGAAATCTTCTGGAAAAAAGCGAACGCTTCAATCGAGATATCAAACTCCAGTTCCACATCTTTGGCAAGAGGAATGTTGGCAAACCTTCACTCTTCATGAACACGAACCAAAAAACAAAACACTGACGTCTCGGTTCCCTTGGACGGATCAGCATCAAAAGGCAAGCATTTACAAAAGGATAACTGGCAGACATCTCACTAAAACCAAACACGTCCTCCCCTCTCTCATCCTCACGAGCGTTTACAGTTTCTTCTGCAGTTCCAGTCCGAGCTTGAGAAGAGAAAACTACAAATTCTCCTTCCACAGGAACAAAGAGAGAGAGAGAGAGAGAGAGAGAGAGAGAGAGGTGGTTGGATGGATGGGCTTTAACAAATAAAGACACTTTACAAATGTATTCCCGGAGCTCGTCCGCTCCAGCAGCGTCCCGTCCCGTCCCGTGAAAGCTGTGGTCCGAGGACAGCCTGGATCACGAGCTCTGGACCTCACCGGTGGCCAGGAGAACGGATGAAACACACGCTCAGCTCGTTTCGCCTTCTGCTTCCTGTTTGTCTTGTAACAGTGGAACGAGGGACTCCCATGCTGCAAGGCACTGTGGGGCAGAAGCAACAGCAGGAAGTCAAGGCCAAAGCCAGCTTCTTCTCAGACAACTCTGTGTTGACTAGACACATTCACTTTTACAGGGTTAGATTTTCTCTTTCATATGGACAAGAGTGACATCTAGATTTTGCACATTGTGATTTTGCTCTGAGACTTTATTTTCTTTACAAAAAAAACTAGATTTTTTATTATTTTAATGAATTAAAAATAATACATTATTATAATCAATGATTTAATTTTAATAAATAGCAATAACAGTAACTTTAAAAAATAACATTAATCCAATTCATATTCTTATTACCAAAATACATTTAACATTTATACATAACATTATTTATACAGTAACACTACAGTAGCTTAATAAATAACATCAATCCAATTCTCATTCACGTTCTCATTATCATAAGATGAGGAAAATCTTTTTTTATTGCTAGAATACACATTGTGATGCATACTTAAAAATGTACTTATTTTTTGAAAGACTTTTTTTTTTTTACATACCAGTTGATTTTAAAAGATTAATTACCAATTTAAACAATACAATTTTGCATAAATATTAAATTTAGCAATTTTGTGTGTGTGTGTGTGTGTGTGTGTGAGTGAGAGTGCAGAATTAAGTTTTTTGAAAATCTAAAAATGCAGAAAGTTTCCTGTGAGGAGTAGGTTTAGGGGTAGGGTTGGTGTAGGGCAATAGAATATACGGTCTGTACAGTAAAAAAACCATTACGCCTATGGAGAGTCCCCACAAGGATAGCTGACCAGACATGTGTGTGTGAGTGTGAGTTTGAGTGTGTGTGTGTGTGTGTGTGTGTGTGTGTGTATTAGGGATGCACTGATAAGATTTTGGCCGATACCGATTTTAACAAACAACTATTTGCCGATACCGATATTGGTCAATTGCATAAAGCAGGGAAAAAACAAAAAGAAAATCGATCGGTTCACTCCGAGCAGAATTGGTATTTGAATGTTTCTGTTCTTGCGTTCCTCTGTATTATTACCGTTCCAAAACCGGTTTGAGTAGAAAAAATACTGGTTAATAACGTTATTTTTAAAACTTTTTCTTTGCCTATAATAATAATAATAATAAAGTACAGCGTTTTCTTTACTCAAAAAGAAAAAAAAACATGAGGGTCTTGATCTGGTAGCGTATCTTGCGCTTAGTCATAGCCAATACAGCACCATCTTTTCCAGATTTTGACCAAATGAATTAAACAAAAGAAAAAACGGTCAACGCTTTAAAGACATTAAAGTAGGCCTATTTTTTCAAGATATTTAAAAATGTTTGCGGCATGGATAAAAAAAACGCTACTCCTATAAGTGTTTTGAGGAAAAAACAGCCTAAATTAGTAGGCTGTACATCGCATTTTATTATTAATATATTATTATTATTATTTAATTATTATCATTCAGAAATAATGTAGGCTAAAACACCGGTAAATAAAGCTAAATATTTACAAACACAATTATTCTATTTTAGTTCCCTTCTCTCCACAACAAATCCTCTAAAGTTTAAGCCAAAACGAATTAATTTAAAAGCAAAACTGAAGCCTACCTTTCTCATTCTGCACGAATCCAAATGTTTCCATATTCACGACTTATCTGGATGCTAAAATATTATTTATTATGTAAACTATAGGCTTTGTTCTTCACTCGCATTTTCAACATAAAACATCATCCTTTACATAGACTAAACAGCACAGTGAGGCGGTGGTGTGGGCTGTGTTCTACACTGGTTTCAAACAAAAAGCTGCATATTACCTGCCATTCATTTTCACTTAAACGTAGGCCTAATGCTTGGCGGTTCGTGACATATCCTCGGATAAACTCTAACGCCGGTGCATTGCCATTGCGACTTACCTCTGATGAATTTACAGCTGAGAGCGGCGTTTCACTCGTTGGCTGCGTCAGCGTCACGTTTGCATATGGCCATACTATGCCGTCTGACAAACTATATTTTGTACAGATTTTATTTTGTTTTGGCAAGTATTTAATTATTTTGCCCAGAGAAAAACCTTGGATTATGCAACAGACATGCAACTCATTGTCTCCATGCAGTTAATTAGTAAACCATCGGTATCTGCCCTTTTCATGCTATTTCCGATATGCCGATGGCTTTAAAATAATCAAAAATCGGCCGATAAATATCGGCGGCTGATACATCGGTGCATCCCTAATATATAAATAGCATTGTATTATACATATGTATGTATAAAGTTGCCAATGTTCTTTTTGCATTATTTATATACCATTATATTATTTATTATTTTGAATTAGCTTTTATTTTTAGATTTTCAGATTTAATTTGAGTATTTTTATGCAAGTTCTATTTAGCTTTAAAATTCTATTTCATCTGCTTATCTTTTATTTCAGTTTTAACTTAGTAATTTTAGTAATTATAAACAGTAGACTTATTTTATTTTAATTAATTGCGAAGACAAAATCTCTAAGATTTGTAAGTTTTTTCATCTATTATTTATATTTTAATTCTGCTTTATTGTAATTAACAAAGACATTTTTTTTATAGTTTTAGTTAATAATAACACTGATTGCCGCAATGAAAAAAATAACAATAATAATAATAATAATAATAAAATGACTTTAAATAGGTTTTATGTTATTTATTTCCTTTTGATTTTGGGGTGTCTTAACAGTTTAAGCAACATACTGACTTCAATTTTGAAAAACTTCTGGATATCAATATGTGAACATACAATGAAGTAAATAATGAAATATTTCAGCTGCTCTGACTCTCGCAGTATTAACGGTTTCCTGGGCTCTTCCCGTTTGGCAGTGGTGTCTGGAATTTAGCCACACTGTGTCAGTGTTTGACAAAACAGCAGGAACGAAACGTGTGAGAGTTTCTTCAAACAACAGCTGAGCATTTTCAGAGCAAGAGTCACTCCAAGTACTCTATATACAATTCATATGCTTACATCAACATTAAGTCCAACTGAACCCATTTACTTTCCTAAAACACATTTCTGGTTTTGCTGAACACAATTCATCAATTCACATTATTCTGCAGTAAAACGTTTGTCTTGGTAGCCGGTCAAATTTTGTTCTTGCATCAAAATATAATAACTTGCTCCGCCTCTGAAATGACAGATACAAATTTCCACCTCCAACCACATTAGAAACCACTATTCCAGGTGGAGGAAAGTTTCTGACCTTCTCGTAGTGCTGGATGTTTTTGTTGGCCATGCCCGTCAGCAGCTGTCTGAAGTCCTGTCGCTTGTTGTTCTCCCAGCGGTCCCAGTCGGCCTTCAGGTCGGCGTTGAAACACTCCACACGGTCCTGACACTTCTCCACGTCAGAGGGCACCTGCAGGACATCCAGACCGACCACTTAACCAGTTTCCTCCGTCACATGTAACACACTTCAGTATTGGCCAATATGTAGATGAGTTTGTTTCTTCATGGGAACAGGTTTGGAGAAATGTAGCATTGCATCAGTGTCTCAGCAGTGGATCCTCTGCAGTGAATGGGTGCCGTTAGAATGAGAGTCCAAACAGCTGATAAAAACATCACAATAATCCACAAGTAATCCACTCCAGTCCATCAGTTTAACGTCTTGAGAGGAGAAAAGCTGCATGTTTTAACAAGCAAGTCCAACATTAAGACGTTGTGAACTTCCAACCTTTGCTTTTGGCTGAAATACAAGTCCTTTATTCATAATATTGCTTCCTCTAGTAAAAAAGCGGTCTGGTCTGAATCAGGAGAGAAATCTGCACAGCTCAAGCACAGTTTACAAGAAAAACAGAGCAAAACCGCTCTAAACAAATATCTGGGTGGATTTTGATGTGAGAGATAACAGGAGATGGACTTTTTCACTGGAGGAAGCATTATGAATCATGGGCAATTTTGATCATAAGTTTAAAGTTAAAATGCTTTAAGGATGGATTTGTTTCTTACAAACATGCAGCTTTTCTCCTCTCAAGATATTAACTGATGGACTGGAGACTGGATTATTGTGATGTTTTTATCAGCTGTTTGGACTCTCATTCTGACGGCACCCATTGATCCATTGGTGAGCAAGTGATGTGATGCTACATTTCTACAAATCTGATGAAGAAACAAACTCATCCTAATCTTGGATGGCCTGAGGATAAGTGTAAATATTCAGAAAATGTTCATTTGTGACCCTGGAGCACAAACCCAGTCATAAGGGTCAATTTTCTGAAATTGAGATTTCTACATCATCTGAAAGCAGAATAAATAAGCTTTCCATTGATGTATGGTTTGTTAGGATAGGACAATATTTGGCTGAGATACAACT